ACCTCCTGGGAGGGAGGTGCACAACTCACCCTCTGGCTCCTCTCCCCCCAGTCTTCAAATATCCAGCGGGTATCGGCTGCTTTCCTCCTCTCCCTGTTGACGCCCTCGACGACTTGGTGACTGGCCGACGGCGGATGACGTTCACAAGGCCAGCCCCGCGCAGGCAGGGGGCGCCAACTTGGGCTGGCTCTGGGGACGGAGGACCCCCCCTGGACGGCAACGGCTCCTGGCAGTCCCCCCCCTTGAGGGGGAATCGTTTCGCCGCAGTGGCAGGGCCCGGCCTCGGTGCCCGCGCTACCTCCTGGGAGTGAGGTGCACCGCCACACTGCGCTTCGACCCCCGCGGCACTCCGTGGGCTCTTAGACCGCGCGGTCGGCTGAAATCACCCCACCCAATGCCCTTTGGCCGCGCTGAACGCGGGCCCGTGGAGGACCGGGGCGACTGGCTGAAGGCCCCCCCCTTCGCACTCCACACTTTGAAGTCCGTCGGCTTGCCCGCGCGGCCCCCCCCCACGACGGTGCCACGCGCCACGACCCCCCACTTCACGCGTTGGGTCCTCCTTTGGAGGCGTCTGCGTCCGACGCCTCCCTTCGATATATTCAATGTTCCTCTGCTATCGGCTGCTCCTCCTTTTTCCGTCGGCGCCACCATGGCAGAGAGGCGACCACGCGCGGTGGATCTCTGGCAATTCATGGGGCACTTCTTGGGGATGAGGTGTTCCTCTCACTGCGTGGTGCGGCGGTGCTCGCCTCGGGTGATGTGGGCCGGCCAGCGGCATCGCCTTGTGTACCTGACTTCCAGATCCTGTGGTGCTCACGGCGTCAGGCCCCCTCCTTCCTGTCCGACATCTCCCCCGTTCGCCGACCTGACCGACACTTGATAGGTGGCGTCGTCTTCCCGTGAAGTGGGCCTGCGCCGGGTCGCCGACGAGCACAGGGTGCTATGCGAGTGAGTCCGCCGCTTTCGGTCTGCTCTTTCCCCCCCCCTGTCTTCGGCATGTGCAGGGGATGCGCCTGCCGGTTCTATTTCTGGTCGGCTGTTGTTAGGACAGTCGGTCGAATGTTCTGGCCTGGTGTCGCAGCCTCCTGCTCTGCATGTTGCACGTGCGCCGGCGCCCTCCTGGCGGCCTCTACCGTCCGTGGCCTGGCCCTTCTAATTATCTGGCTTTGCGCCTCCTTTCCTGCCGAATTTGTTTTGGGCAGTGTCTGCCCTTGCCGTTCCGGTCGGCTGTTGTTAGGACAGTCGGTCAATGTTCTGGCCTGGTCTCGCAGCGTCTTGCTCTGCATGTTGAGTGTGGGTTGGCGCCCTCTTGGCGGCTCCCTCCAGTCGTGGCCGGGCCTTCGCTAATTATATGGCATTGCGCCCGATTGCCTGCTGACACGCCCTCTGGACTTTTCCTCGCGGGCCGCCGAACAAAAAGCATCCCCGCACCATCGACGACGCCAGGGGCGACAGGTCCTTCAGGCGCGCGATCGGCGACAGGGGCCGCCAGCGACCCGTGTGGGAGGGCGCCAGGGACGGGGGTCGCCGCGCCCCCAAGTCCCCAAGAGGCGACCCAGCCCGGCCACACATACTCCAGGCACCCTGGAAAGACATATGAGAAACGCAGCCACCCCGAGGCAATCCGAGCGACCCCATGGGGGGCGCCCCCATGTATATGTGCCCGGTCGACGAAGCTGATGCTACGAATAACGAACCGATACAGGAGAAGATAACGCGCCTGCAAAAGACGCTGGGAGGTGCGTTTAACGGGGTCTGGGTCGCATGGGCGAGGAGGGCGGCCGTGAGGCAGGGGGCCATCGGGATTGAAAAGAACGACCCCAGGCTGAACTCCGTGCAGGTGTGCAGCGAATTGCCCCAGGCATGGGGCAACGCAGGGTATGGCGCATAAAAGATGGAACGAGACTTAGGGCTCAACGTCGATTGGCCAACGGTCAAGGACAGACATACCAGGCTCCTGCAACGCGAGCCCAGACCCCACGCGCAGCGCGGGACCGACAGCAGCAGCGGCCCCGCCCCATGGGCCAAGGAGGGCAAGAGGGCGACGGGGGCGTCCTCGCAGGAGCAGTGGACTGGTGCATCCGGCTCCGCCAACCCGTGGCATGGATGGCAGGAATGGGTTTTCTGGAGCCACCAGGGCGCACCGTGGACAGATACGATTGGAAAGCGAAAGGCAAACGCTACTCCCCCAGGGGAGAAGACCCATACACCGACAAGCGCGCACGATGGTGGGATTGACTTGACCAGTGTGCCAAGGGCACGCAGGGATGGGCCCGCCCGACGGGGCGCCCCCTGCCCCCCCAGCTCGGCGACAGCGACACCCCCCCAGGCGCTCGCCGCCCTCTCCCCGCTGGGGGCAGTTTCACCCTGCAGCGCGCGGCCTTGGCCGCAATACCCTGGGCAGCTCCCGCCGGGGCGGGGGTGTCCCAACATCTCACCCAAGGCGCTGCGTAGCCAGAGAGCCCGCACTGGATAAGTGGACCTTGCCTGGCCACCTCACCCCCCCTGGTGGGGGTGAGCCCGCAGGCCCCACCGGCCCATGGCCAACAGCCGCCCTTTACGACGGCTGACTGCTCGGTTGGGGACTGGGGATGGACGCAGACGTCTCCCCGGGCTCCACGCCCTGCGCTGTCTCTCGACAGCCACTTTGGTCGGCCGGGGGCGGTTGACTGGAATAGTCCTCCCCTGCGCACCACTCTGCTGGCGGCGGTCTGTGCGCAGCCCACACTACCCCCCTTGTCCTCAGCTCTGTGTGAGCTGCTTACATGACATGTTTCATTGCGGCTGTTGGCTGCGCCCTCATCTCCAACCGACACATCTGTGCATGGCGGCTGTTGGCTGCGCCCCCCCTCTCCATGCCGTTGTCAGATTCAGCCCTTACTGCGTTCCAGCCCTTCATGAGGTGGGCGCAGCAGCTGCGAATCTCGGCGACTTTCTTGACTGGTCCTGAGCGGTTGCAGTATACCGGCCCCGGGCCAGCGTGTCCTCTCTCATCGTTGCTGCCCTGACCTGTCACTGGTTTCGGGCACGATGACGACGCGCCGGCCCCCCCTGGGCGGCGGTGCAGTCCGCGGAGTGAGTGTTCTGTTGGTACTTGCCGTCCACCGGCTCTCTCTGTGGTCAGATTGAGCCCTGACTACACCCCTGCGCCTATGAGCTGGCCGCGGCTGCAGCGTACCTCTGCGACCTTCGGCCGATGCCCGCTTGGCGGCAGTACTGGCGCTTGGGCCTGCGTGTCCTTTCGTCGTTGCTTCCTGGCCTGTGACTGGTTTCGGAAACGATGGCTGACGCACCGGCCCCACCATGGGCAGCGGTGCGGATCGTGGAGTGAGAGCTCTGTAGGTCCCTGCCTTCCCTCTACCCCGTCCAGCCGACCCCGCGTACGGCGGTGGCACCTCGCGCTGAGTGGTTGAGCCTTCAGCGTGTTGCTTCGGTGCTACCTGTCTGATCGGCTAGGTTTGCTGCGCGGACTGGCGCCGACAGGGCGACTCTCCCGCTGCGTAGCACTGCAGCCGCTTCACCTCGGTGTGGCTGGCGCCTAGGTGCGTTCGCCTTAATGTGGAGCATTTTGCTTAATGCATGTGCACACCTCGCATTCTCTGCGAATTTTTACTGCAGGTGCGTTGCCTGTTGTAGCTAATTCGCCTTGCCTGCTGGCCCAGACGACGCCTTCCGCTTCCTGTCCGCCGCCTCGGAGCCGCCGACCAAACAAACATATCCCCACCAGCCTTTTTTTCCGCGCTAGCATGCTGTAGTGTGGGCATCCGCCCTGCCTGCGTAGGCCTGGCTATCGTGCGACCTCTAGGCGCCGCGCGGCTGCCCGCTTGCTGTTGCGAACAAAAGATCCCCACCAGCCCGTCCAGCAACCCTGCCCACGAGAGCTGACAGGGAAAGGGACGCAGAGACACACACACATATATATATATATATATATATAATAGTGAATCAAAAAGGGCGACCAGGCTGAACAGAGAGATCTGAGGGATCAGTGGGGGTGGCCTTGGAGGGCCTCTTCGGGGGGGCCCTCTTGGGAGCCCTGGAGGGCCTCATGAGGCTACGTTGGAGGCTATCGATCAAAAGGGGGGAGGGCCTAAATTGTATTCCTCTCCTAGGGCCGCCAACATCGCCTCTTGAGGCCCCCGTGGGGCGCTGCTGGGCCGTTCCTGGGCGCTCTTGGGGCCGCCAGGTGAGCCTCTCAGACACCCCTTGGGCCTCTGTCGAGCCATCTTGGGGCCGTTTTGCGGCCTCGAAGACGTACCACAAGTCATTTATTGTTAGTAGGTCGTTGAAGGATGTTGACCTCTTGGACGTTCCTGAGGGGGGCTCCAAACGCACTTGGAACCGTCCTGTGGCCCCTTTCGGGCCTCTGTGAGATATGTCGGAAGTTACCTTGAACCGTCTTTCACTACAGTGGATGCCCATGCCAAGAAACACCCTGCTTGCCTCCAGGGTGTCCATGGTTTCTTGGTGTTCTATGGTTTTGCGATGGAAAGCGTGACGCTCCAACACCAAAGATCAATTGACGTCCTGGGGTCTCAGGGTTGGGTTTCTTGTGGAAGGTTTCTTGTGGTCGACCTCCTGTTGTACCTTGAGCCACCTTGGATGCCATCTTGGAGCATCGAAGGCCCTCTTGGAGCTTTCTTGGACTCTCTTGGACGCTCTGGCCCATGTCGGCCCGCCCCCCTAAATCCTCGGGGAGGGTAGGAGGAGAGTACCCTTAAGTCGGGCGAGCCCCTCTACACGAGGAGAACTCAAGCATGGTAAAACCACAGTCTGGTGACGATAATTATGTTGTTTTGACTATGCATGGGTATATTCACAATTATTCTTCGACAGTCCTTCTGTAGGAGGACATGCCCGACCTAGGAGCACCCCTCCCTGAAGGGGAGAGGGTCTGTGGACGAGGAAAGGAAGACATCGCTACACCATCTCAGCCCAAAGGGTTGGCGGGATTCCATCCTCGAGTGCCGAGGCGAGAGCAAAACTCGGCAGCTTCTCAGGAGGGGGGCGCTTCTCGGTGGCCGTGCAGCACCTCTCAGCCTTCCGGACGCAGGCGGAGCCCCAGGTCGTGTGCGTCAGCAGCGGCGCGGAGGACGGCCTGCCCTCGTCGTCGGCCCAGGGCCAGCAGGACGAGGCGGGTCCATCTTCTTCCTCCTCCTCCTCCTCCTCCTTATCTTGCTCCTCCTCCTCATCCTCCTCCTCCTCCTGCTCTTGCTCCTTCTCCTTTCGAGGATGGCGCTGTTTCGACGATCGCCTTTTGCCCTACTTTGCTGGAGCGCCTGAGGCCAAGGGCGAGCCCCCTCGGATTCCCTTCCAGCGGATCTCGTTGCGGCCGGAGGTATTCCCCAGTGGGACCCCAACAGACGCTCGTGCCCCAGTTAGTCTCTGGCCCCGGATTGAAGTAAGTGTGTTTCTTCAGTTCTTTTTTGCCATCGCGCCTCTGATAGGCCTCCCGGACGACGACGACGACGACGACCGACGACCGATGACAGAGGACCGACGACCGACGACCGACCATTGACGACCAACGACCGACGACTGACGACTGACGACGACGACGACGACGACGACGACGACGACAACGACGACGACTGACGACTGGACGACGACGACGACGACGACGACGACGACGACGATGACGACGACGACGACGACGACGACTCGAATGACGCGTGCGCTGGCGAAATTCCCAGCTGAGCCCCACCAACTACTGGATGCTTCAATCTGCGTTCTGGGTGTTTGCGCGCCGATCTCAGATTGGCATCAAGCCTCTTGCTTCCTCTCTATCGCCTCTCTCCAACGTGCATTCCTCACGCCGTGACTGAGAATTGTTTTTCGTACGTCGCTAAGAATCGAGGTCGAGGAAGGGCTGAAAGCGAGAGAAGAAAGACGGCGAGGTCAATGACGAGGGCGGCGACGACGGCGACGGCGACTAGAAGGTTTTAGTGCACGCACCCCCAGTCAATTCCACCCTCTCGGCGGGTATCCGAGAGGGACGGCGAGGATCGCCTCGACGCTGGGGACAGCGGCGGCATCGGCGACGACAACGACCGGCTTCGTCCAGAGGCCGTTTGGGGTGTCCGGAGATCTCCGGAGGCCTTCGGAGGCCCGAGGAGGCCTCCAGAGCCCAGTGGCCTGGAGGCCCAGGAGAGGCCAAGAAGGGCAGCACGGCCCCCCAAAGACGCGCATCTTCGGAGCGCGTGTCCCTCGAGCCGAGGGCCCCTTCGAGCCCGGCGTCGTGATTGTTCCATGACGTCTGGGCCCCTTGCAGGGAACCAGCTTTTCATCCTGAGCCAGTCTTGCCAGTCCCAGGGCCATGCGAGGTTCCCCAGACGCCAAAAGCTACGAGGGGGCTCCGTCGCGCTTCTCTGAATGCGGAGATCTGGGGGCGAGAGATTGGCGTGTATCCCTTGGCGATAGCGGGCGTGACCCGGGGGTGGTGGGGCGGGGGGCGGCCGGTCACGTAGCTATTCGCGCCGGCGCTGCCTGGGAACGCTAGGGATGGCTAGTTTCCAGACGGCGCCAGTGCGAACGTGACCAAGGGGGGGAGGGGGGGGCGCGAATAAGATTAGAAAAAACGGGCTCCGCGCACTTTCGGAGGGCGACCCTGAGGAGCCAAGCACGAGTCAGCATCGTTTACCTAGCCGACCCCAATTCTATCCCCATCCACATCCAGACCCCCACCATCTCAGCACCTCAGTTGGGGATACATCCCGCGAAACCCGGAGGTAACGGCCTAGACCCGCATCTGGCGTGGTAACTCTGCCAGCGGGGTCCAGGCCACGCCGTTGGGGACTGGGGTTGGTTAACCCATGCTCCTCCCATCGGTCTTCCCGTCTTCTGGAGGCCGCCCAGCAAAAAGGAGGAGGTGGAGGAGGCCCAGCGTCCCCAAGAGGGAGCGGAGGAGGAGGAGGAGGAGGAGGAGGAGGAGGAGGAGGAGAAAGCGAAGGAGGAGGAGGACGACCTCTTTCCCCCGGGAGGAGGAGCAGGAGGACGAGGCGGAGGGAGGCGGAGGAGAGCGATGCCCGGAGGCGGGGGACGACCTCTTCCTCGACGGCGCCGCCGCCGCCCCGACCGAGGCGGAGCCGCCGAGCGGCCGCGGCGAGGCCGGGGGCCCCGCCGCGGCGGGCGCCGCCCCGCTGCGGCTCGACGAGGCCCTCGTCGAGCTGCGGGGGGGCCCGGCCTCTGCCCAGGCGCCGCGCCCGGGGCCAAGCCTTTCGGGGGCGGAAAAGAGGGGGGTGATGACTAGGAGGGGGTGGATATCATGGCGTGGGCCATGATATTTCCCCAGATTTCATGGCGCCTCTTCTTGTTTCATTACGTCCCTGGCCCCCCCGCTGGGCCGCGCACATGCCGCCGGTCATGATTTGCACCCCCTCCTCTTGGACACCCCCCTCTTGGCCGCTCCCGAGCCTTGAGTCGGGCATGGTCCTCTGCAGGAGGAATTCTCAGACAGAGTAAAAGACAGTCTGGGTACGAGGTTCTATTGTTTTTGACCATGTTTTTTTGTGGAATCTTAGACGTTTGAGAAGTTCGCTCGTCGTTTTGCGCCTGCAGGGGGACATGCCCGGCCTGAGTCGAGCCCAGACCTCCATGGCGTCGTGGCAAAAATCACGGCGGGAGGTGTTTCGCTGTCTTTGGCCTCCGGGGCCCAGCCTCGGGGCGGGTCCAGAATCGACCCCAGAGGAGAGCCCAGTCCCGGGCAATGGGTCGAGTCCTTGAGGAGGGGCGACGTTCTGAACAAGTCATGCTGTCGGGGATCTGGGAACAGAAGGCCCGGGCGGGGGACCCAGACCTCCGCTCCAGCTGAGGCTCCCAGTCGGCAGGCCCTGTTCATTTTGGAACTGGACTCGCTGTCGGGGTCGCCGCTGACGCTGTCGATTTCAGAAAGAAGGCCGCCTGGCCAACAGCGGCCGCTGTCGTTTCTGTTGCGGCATTTGCTCACAGCCATCTTGTGTCGTTGGGTCATCTTTTTGAATCTGCAGCACCCCGCGTTCCTCACTCCCACTCCTCCCCCTTTTCCCATCTCCTTTCCCTGCCTCATCCCTCCGCATCTTCATGTCGGCATACCTCTGAAACGATTTGTGGCCCCGTGGGGAGCTCCACTGGAGGCCCCAGTGGCTTCGTTCGCATGGTGGCCTTGCGCTCGATCCAACTCACCCCTCACACGTTTCGCGCTGCGGTTGCTGCGTTCCCCCCGTTGCCGCGTTCGCATGGCGGCACCGCAGCGGATTCGCGTGGTGGCCCCGCAGCCGATTCGGTATACCCCTAGAATGCGTCGTGGCCCCATGGAGAGTGGGCTCCGCTGCGGCCCTGAGTTACTGCATTCGCATGGCGGCCCCGCACCCGATTTGGCGCACCTCTTTCATGTTTCGTGGGCCCAGTTGCGTTCGCATTCGTGCCCCGCACCAGATGCGGCACACCCTGCGCACGCTCCGTGCCTCGGTTAGTAATTCTGCAGAAGGCCCCCAAGACAGCCTTCGCATAGCGGCCCCGCACCCGATTCGGCACGTCCCTCACACATATCGCGACCCCATACGGAAGGCATGAGCAACCGCGCTCGCATAGCAGTCCTGCGCCTGATTCGGCGTACCCCTCACACAATTCGTGGCCCCATAAGGGGCCCCGCCGGATGCCGCAGCAATTGCATTCGCAGGGCAGCCCTGCACCCGATTCGGAACACCGCTCTCACGTTTCGTGGGACCCAGGGAGCTCCACCACAGGCCCCAGTGGCTGCTCTCGCAAGGGGGGCCCCGCATTCATTTCGGCACACCTCTCACACGTTTCGTGGTTCCACAGGGAGCTCCAACGAAGGCCCCAGTGGCTGCTTGTACATGGCGGCCCCGCGCCCGATTCGGCACATCCCTCAAACGCTTCCCGACCCAATAGGGAGCTCATCCGCAGGCCCGAGTGGCTGCGTTCGCATGGCTCGCCCGCGTCCGATTCGGCACACCGGCACAAGCCTCGCACTTTTCGTGGCCCCATACGGGGATCCACAGAAGGCCCCGGTGGGAGCTTTCGCATTTCGTCCATCACCGATTCGACACACTCCTGACTCTTCTTGCGCCACAAAAAAAAATTCACCGAAGGCCACATGCGGCCCCGCTCCCACTTCGGCACAATCCTCGCAAGCCTTGTGGCCCCATAGGGAGCTCCGGCCACAGCCCCAGTGGGAGCGTTCGCATGTCGCCCCGCACCCATTTCGGCATACAGTTCGCACGCTTCGTGGCCCCACAGGGAGCTTCGCCTGCGGCCCCAGTAGGAACGCTCACATGCGGCCCCCCACCCACTTCGGCACCCTCACACGCTTCGTGGCCCCCAAAACAAGCTCCACCAAAGGCCCCAGTGGCGACGTCCGCGCGCGGCCCTACACAATGTTCGTGGCCTCGTGGGGATTTCCACTGAAGACGACAGTCGCAACTGCAGTGCTCTCGATTGCACAGGGTTGGGGCCCTCGCCAGGATGACTGCCAATCGTAGTGGCCTCCGGCCAGTGCCGCGCATCCTGGTCGCTCCCGCTGGTGCTCCGGTTGGCTTGGAGGTCTCTGGGGCCGCCTGAGGGCCCTCTTGGGGCCGTCGTAGGAGGAGGCCTCTCGAGGGGGGGTCTTTCAGCCTCTGGGGGTCTTCTTTGGTTTTTTTTTGGCTGTCTCAGAGACGTTCCTGGCCCGTCGGGCGCCGTCGGAAGCCGTCTTGGGCGCCTCGCTGTGCCGTCTGGGCACGCCCTGGGGGCCCTTCAGGGCCGTCTGGAGGCTGTCTTGGCCGTCTTGGAGGCCAATGGGGCCGTCTTGGGACCGTCTCACGAGCCTCTCGGGCCGTCATATAGCCATCCTGGAGGTCTCCGGGGAGATCTTGGGGGCCTCTGGGGCCGTCGGAAGGCCGAGATGAAGCGCCTCACTCCTTTAAGGCATATAGAAAATCAATGGTTTGGGCCTCTTTGGGTTTGTCTTGGAGGGCATCCTGGGCCATCTTGGGTGCATCTTGATCCATCTGGAAAGTATCTGGCGGCCGTCTCGGGCTCTGGCCCCAGAGGTGAGAATTTTGCGGATTTCAGTGTGTTGCCCCCCCCGCCCGCCCCCCCCTTGCAAAGCTGAAGTTCAGGCCGTAGGCTGTAGCTTAGGCTCCTTGAAACTCACGCCGGATCGGCGGATTTTTCTGACCCATGTCTCCGACGTCCAAACCAGCCTCACCGCGGCGCACCCCTCCCTCACTAAGGCAGCGCCCCAAAAAGAAGCTCCAGGTATGGCCCATAAAGAGGGTGCGCGCATGCCGTCCCAGCCTCGCCTCGGCACTCACGAGGATCAAGGCCCACAGGAAGCTCTGCGTACGGCTCCCGAGAGGCCCGAGAGGGTGTGCGCATGCCGCCCCCCAGCCCCCTCGCGGCGACGGTCTGCCTGTTTCCATCTGGGCGTCCTGACCGATCTAGGCCCGGGCCCGTCCTCAAGCCCCGTGCCCCAGGAGGAGAAAATGGAGGAGGAGGAGGAACAGGAGGAGGAGGGGGAGGAACTTGAAGAGGAGGAGGAGGAGGAGGAACTTGAGGAGGAGGCGGAGGAGGAAGAGGAGGAGGCGGAGGAGGCGGGAAACTTGCCCCGGGGAAGGGGCCGGGACCTCCCCGGTGGCCGCGCGCGGAGAGAGCCATCTCGTCGGACAACGCGCAGGGGGAGGCGGATACATGCGCACGGCATGGCCCGACGGGGCGAGGCAGCGGGGCACGGCGGGTGCCCCGCACGCAGGCCTGCCGCGTGTGCATCCAAGCGCGTGCGGCTCCGTCTTCCCGCAGGGCTGCGCACGTACAGCCCCCCCCCCAGGTGGGCCAGAGGAGGGGAGGGGTCCGGACACCACGGCGGCCCCCGAGACCGTCGAAGACGGCTCTGGGCGAACCAAGCTGGTCCCGGTGAAGGAGAGCCCCGAGGTCCAGAGGACATCCAGTTCTGCCAGGCCGTCGCTCGCTTCCTGCCAGAGTCCGCCCGGGGTGCTCCCCGCAATGGGCAGTTTGGGGTGCAGCGGAGACCCCCGCCAAGAAGCACCCTGCTTGCCTCCAGGGTGCCCTGGGTTTCTTGGGCTTCGATGGCCTTGCTATAGCAGGCGTGCCGGTCCCACACCCAAGATCCATAGACGTCCTGGGGTCTCAGGGCTGGCCTTCCTTGTGGAAGGTTTCTTGTGGACTGGCCTCCACTGTGACGAGCCAGCCCCCCCGGGGGGGGGCGCCCCGCGAGGCGGCGCGACGGTGCTCCGACGGGTCTGCCGAGGGTGGCCTGAGCCTGCCTGCGGGGGGCGGCCTGCGCCCCCAGCCCCTGGGCGTCCGTGTGGGGCCTTCGGGGCCCTCCAGGGGCGCCGGCCTTTCGCGAGAGGCAGGTCGGCTGGCCACAGGACGCCTCGACCGTCGTGAACTGCGTCGTCACATGGGCCCCCAGGGGCCTGGACCCCTCCGCGGGCGCCAGGTTGATGCACTGAGTTGTTGCTGTCGACTGTCCAGGCGGAAAACAGCGCCAGGTCTTCCAGCGTGGGATGTTGGGGTAGAAGGTCTTTAGGCCGTCTGCTCTTCCTTGTTCTGCGCGGCTTCCCCTGGAGGCGGAGGACGAGATCGCAGAGCCTCTCAGCAGCTCGGCGGGCACAGCCATGCAGGCAGTCGTCGAGAGCGGCCTGGCGTACACCCTGATCAAGGTTCTGGGCCTCGGCCGATTACCCCCCTTCCTCCCCTCGCCACCCACCTCGTGCCCGAAAGCCTGCCGGCCAACGGGTGTCCCACTCGAATTTTCCAGATCTCCAGCGGCAGACCTTTTTCTCTCGGTCTGGACCTGGGGAGAGAATCGGGACATCTGGGGGCCGCGCAGTGTGCCGAGCGAGAAATCGACCCGCGCGCTCCAGAGAGGGGCCTGCCTTGGAGGAGCGAGGGAGCTGACATCGCTTCCTCGGTGACCGCTCCTCCTCCTGGGCACCTCCCCTCCCGCCCACCCACCCCTGTCTGCCCCTCCCGCCCCCCCTCCCCGCTCGGCTGCTCGCACTCCTCCCCCCCCACCACCAGCTCCCCCCCCCGATCCAGCGACCCCGCCCCTGCGCCCCAGATCCGCCCTCTCTGGCCGTGCAGACGAGGGCCCGCCTGCCCACGGCCCCCCCCCAGAGAGGGGCAGTCCCACATCAGAGCCCCCCCTCCTCCCTGTCCTCCTCCTCCTCCTCCTCCCTCCTCCTCCTTCCTCCTCCTCCTCCTCCTCCTCCTCCTCCTCCTCCTCCTCCTGCTCCTCCCCCCTGGCGTGCCGCTCCGACGGACGTCACCATGTTTCCCGACGTGGGCCCCCGAGAACCCCCGACCCCATCTCCAGGACCAGCTTCTACTCTCCCCCCACGGTCTCGTTTCTGACTGCCCCGGTGGGGCTGGACACGGTCGCGCCCCGTCCCTTTCGGGCCTCCTGGGGCCTCACACATGGTTTTGTGGCCACACATGGTGCTGTGGCCACACTCTTGGACCTCTGGGGCCTCACACATGCTTGTGGCGAGAGTCCTTGGGGACTTTTCGTGGAGACCGCACGGTTTTCGGACTCGGGTCGTTCTCCGAGGACACCTGGGGCGGGGGGCCTTCGAGGTCCCAGTGCGGTGCGGTGACGGACTGTGCGGTGAGGTCCTTAAGGGGATTTCGATGCCACATGTCACCGCAAGTGAAGTTTGGGGCGCCCAGCTCTTGCCCAGAGGCCGCGACGGCCCGAGGCCCGAGGCGATGCCCGCCGTGCTTGTTCTGCCCGCGGCGCCCGGACAGACCAGGGGGGGGGGGGGGCGAACAGCCCCCGCCGCGCCTCTTGTCTGCGAAAGTCCGCCAGCGCGGAACCACCGCGCAGCGCGGCAACCCCGCGTCCCCGCCCCCCCATCCCCCGCCGACTAAAAACTGCACCTCGGAAGGGGAAAGAGCATCGCCGACACGCTGCCGCTTGTAGCCCTCAGAGTGTTGCTCCTTCGTTTGTGCTTGTGTATGTCCGAAAGAGCTAGCGCGTTCTGTGGTCGCTTGGAGGGGGGGTGGTTGGAACCGGCTCGGCGCCTGGGGGGGGGGGGGGGTTGAACCCCTCCCCCCTCCCTTGGGCTGCCTCTGGTCATCGTGGCTGCGTCCCCGCCGTCGGCGCTGCTGGCGGCCGCCGGGGCGGGGTGGGGGGTTCAAGCCCCCCAAGCCTTTGAAGGGGAGGGGGGGGGGTTCGGGAGGGGGGGTTGGGGGGCAGGGGAGTCCTCTGGTTTTGATCGACGGCGCCGAGTGTTGGGGGGGGGGCCACACCCCGTCTCGAAACGCGCCGCCAAATGTTCCCAAGGCAAGCGCCCGTGCAACGCCTTCTCTCGTCTGTCCGAAGGCCTGGTGTAACACGCTGATGGCTTCCCTACGGCGTTGTGCCATTCATACAATGGAGAAAACCATGCCAAGAAACACCCTGCTTGCCTCAAGGGTGCCCTGGGTCTCTTTGGTTTCGATGGTTTTGCGATGGAAGGCGTGGCGTCCCCACACCAGAAGTCGGTGGACGTCCTGGGGTCACAGGATTTGGCTTCTTGTGGGCGGTTTCTTGTGGTCGAGCTCCGGCTGTGGGCTCAGGCAGGCTGCGCGATGCCCCAGGGAGTGCTCGCAGGCGTCGCGCAGGCCCCTCGGGCTGACGTCGCAGAAGCATAGCCGACCGGATCTACTCAGCAGAGGCTGAAGGGCTTGTTTTCCACCACCACCACCACCATAAGTTGGAGGGGGAAAGGAGGAGGAGGAGGAGGAGGACGACGACGACGAAGAGGTGGAGGAGGAGGAGGAGGAGGGGGAGGAGGAGGACCTCCTCCCCCTCAAACTTATGGTGGTGGTGGTGGTGGACTACAGGCCCAACAGAGGCGCTCGTGGGAAGAAAGGCGCACCTGAGGATACGGAGGAGCTCTCGCTTTCTCGCCTCGTCGCAAGGCGTTGCGGCCGCAGGTTTTCTGCGGGCCTGCGCCCGATGGGTCTGTCCCAGGTCGTCTTCACCCGATGCGGTTCTGCTTCAGGGGGGTTATGTTAAATGGGGCGTGTCCCTCTGCAGGAAGAAGATTCAAACAAGCGAAAAATGTATGGGGACGATGTTTCGCCATTTTTTGCCCACATGGGAACCTTTTTTGATTATTTCCCCATATCCAAAGGATGGGGTTATTGTTTTTACTCTGACCGGGCCGACTCCTTCAGGTCACCTCCTCCCCTCCTCCTTCTCTTCCACATCTCACTCAGAGTATGATGATGACGATGATGATGGTGATGATGATAACGCTGATGGTGATGGCCATGATTGTGATAAATGGTGGTGATGATGGTGGTGATGATGATGCTGATGATGATGCTGATCATGATGTTGATCATGCTGATGCTGCCGCTGCTGCTGCTGCTGCTGATTATGACGATGATGATGATGATGATGATGATGATGATGATGATGATGATGATGATGATGGTGGTGATGATGATGGCGGAGCAAATTCTGAGAATGTCTCGAGCGAGGCGCGGGTTTCAGCAACCCGGGGGAGCCGCCAGGGGGTATGGCACGGCTTCCGTTCGCGCCAAAATGGCGGGGATGTCTTGAGCGGTTTGTCTGTGTTGGTGCTCAGCATCCTACGCGTGCGGAGCAGATTTGGAGGATGTCTCGAGAGAGGCGATGATTTCAGCACACCCAAGGGGAAGCCGCCATGGGGTATTGCGTTCCTCCGTTCGCGCCACAATGGGGGGATGTCTCGAGCGGGGTGCCTGGCTCGGTGCTCAACATCCTCCGCTTTCGGAGCAGATTTGGAGGATGTCTCGAGCGAGGCACTCACTTTCGCCCCCCATGGGGCCAGATTTTGAGGATGTCTGGAGCTGTTTGTTGATTTTCCTGGCCAAACTCGTGGGCACGGATCCTCTTCAGGATGCCACAGGAGGCTCCAGCAGGAGGTATCAGGAGGTACCAGGACGTACCAGGAGGCATCAGGACGCCACAAGAGGCCACTGGAGGCTCCAGGAGGCTCCAGGAACCCCCAAGGGGGTCCAGAAGGCTCCAGAAGGCTCCAGGATGCTCCAGGATTGCACAGGAGGCCACAGGAGGCCACAGGAAGCGCCAGGATGCACCAGGAGGCCCCGGAAGGCACCAATCCGTAGTGTTCTTTTATGCGTCTGTTCCTATAGATTGAGCTCCTGGGGCCCGAATCCTCCCCAGGAGGCCCCAGGAGGCTCCAGGCGGCCACACGAGGCCCCTGGAGGCTTCAGGAGGCCACATGAAGCCCCAACAGGCCACAGGAGGCCCCACGATGCTCCCGGAGGCCACAGGAAGGCCACGGAGGTTTCAGGAGGCCCCAGGAGGCCTTAGGCTCATGCGCAGAGACGCGCTCGTACTACGGAGACTCATTCACACTCCAGTTCGTTCACATTTGGATTCACTTCCAGACTGTCAATCAGCAAGCCCGTGAAAATTCGAAAACTATAGCGCCTAGACGCTTGCGGCGGACAGGCCCATGCTAATATATGCGCATATGGGGAGCTCCACGCAGTGCATATTTTTAGTTTTTCGTCCAAGCTCCGCATGTAGGAGCACACGCCCGTTCTCAGGCTGCTGTCGACCGCTGAAGGATTCTGCCGTAGGCCTCAGGAGGCCGTCGGAGGCCTCCAAGCTCCGGAGGCCTCCAAAGGCTCCGCATTCCGAGGAAGGGCCAGCCCCGTCCGGAAGTGTTCATCTTTCTCTTTGCCACCCGTGCCCCGTCGCAGGACGGGCTCGACGAAGGGGACATTGGCGCGCAAACTGCCCGCGCCAGGTCTCGCGTGCGGGCCATCTGCCTCCTCGCGGCGGTTGCCGCGCGGGTGGCCCGCGCATTCCTGCTACAGTGAGGCCGCCTTGTCCTCTCGCGTGAGGTTTCTCGTCCTCCTCCTCCTTCTCATCCTTCGTCGTTTCATTTGTGGAACAAAAAACATGAGGAGCGTCAACGAGCTTGGAAGGCTGAGCGAAGACGGCGACGGCGAAGGCGACGGCGACGGCGGCGGCGGCGCGATGGCGGCAGCGGCAGCGCGACAACGACAGGGGCGGCGGCGGCGGCCACGGTGACCGCGGCGACTACGGCGGCGACGGCGGCGGGGAAGGTGAAAGGCGTCAACGAGCACCCTGGCGGAATGTACCCCATCGCGGTGGTGCAGGACTGCGCGCGGGTCCCACCATGTGGTTAACCAGACCAGTTGTCGCACACTCCCGCGCACACTGGCAAGCGAGGCGGCGTGCATCGAGCTGGTCCTTCCTGAGTTTCGTCAGGGCTGGACCTAAACGGTGTTTTGGCGATTTCGTGGGCCGTTTTCGTTTCGATTTCGTTTTGCGGTAGTGGTGGATTGAAGACAAAACCAGGGAAAACGAAAACAAAACGAAGACGAAAAACACCGTTCAGGTTCAGCCCTGAGTTCCGTCATGGCGAACAGATGCAACTTTGCAAAGAATCGCGACCAGAGCTCTAGACCCAAATTTTTTGTTGTTGCATTTTTCGAGAGGGGCCGATCCGTGAGGGTCCTGGGGTCCGAAACCAGGATCTCCTCCTCCTCCTCCTCTTCCGCATCCTTCTCCTCCTCCTCCTCCTCCTCGTCCTCGTCCTCCTCCTCCTCGCTCCCCCTCCTCCTCGCTCCCCCTCCTCCTCCTCCTCCTCCTCCTCCTCCTCCTCCTCCTCCTCCTCCTCCTCCTCCTCAGGGTGGCCCTTCTTCACACCGCCGGCCGTCGTCCCAGGACTGCGTCCAGGGCCTGCCGCTGTGCGCCGGCGCAGCGGGCCGCGCTGGCCTGCGGCGCATCTCGCGGGGGGACGCGGCCGAGCTCGTGGCCGGCGCCCTCGTGGAGCCCGCGTGCGTCAACGCCGAGGTCTCTGCCGGGGAGGTGCGGCAGCAGGACACCCTGGGCCCCGAGGAGGCGCGGCGGCGCGGAGAACCGTCGGATCGCGGCATCGCCCAAACCGAAGGACCAACACGTGCATAGACATGATTTCTCCATGTCCGCGCGGGTCCTCTTAGGTCGGCGCTGGGCCGCCACCGGCGCGCTCCGCGCGCCAGGGAGGGGGGTGCAGCGCCGATCCAAGAAGTCCGCGCGGACCTCCGAGGAATTTCGGATGTTTGTGCCGCTGTGCCTTCTTTCCTTTGTCAAGGTAAGTCGTCAAGGATCGGATCTTGTTCCCAGCCCACAGGTTGGGGCTGCGGGATTTAGAGGAAGGGGCGCCCGACCAGCCTCGAACACCCTGCATACCGCGGCCGCAAAGGACCTGGTACTCCCTGGGTATCCCGCCATGCGTTTCGACGGATGACGACTGCAGACCGCGGCCGCCAGGCCGCAAGTGCCTTGGTGTTCCCTGGGTTTCCTGCATCGCGTTCTCCTGTGGAGATCGCTGGAAGCAGCGTAAGTTGGAGTGTTTCGTTCTTCTTGGGACTCTTGGAGATTTCTCGTCGCCATGACTGGATCGGCCTGGAAATCCGTCGGGCGGGGCCCCGAGGATGCCCGGCGACGACGAGGTTCGAGGATATCGAATACTTTGGGATGTTTTCGAAACGCATGGGGCGCCCTCGTCGCGACGGCTGAGTCCGTGCAGAAATGCTGGCCAGACCCCAAGACGGGTCCGGTTTTCGATTTTGACACCCGGGCCCAGACATCCAGGCGTCGACAAATCGAGGCGGCCGGAGGTGCTGTTCCCCAATCGGCCCCCAGGGGGCGGTCGGAGAAAGATCCCTTCAGAACAAAGTGGTAGCGCCGATGAGGTCGAGAGATCTGGGTACCCACGTCACGATTAAACTGCGACGTCGAATGTGGCGGAAAGGGGCAGGGCGATGAGGTGGCCTCCTATGTGACAAAGAAGCCACCTCGCCTCACCTGGGCCGTCTGGAGGCCATCTTGGGCGATATTGGGGCCATCTTGGGTAATCTTGAGTGTCTTGAGGGCCTCTGGAGCCGTCTTCCAACCCCTCTTGGACACTCCAGGGGTCCGCGAGGCCGAGTCCTTCGATTCCCGAAGCATGGTTTGCATCGACAGATGCTCGTATTTTTAACTTTCTTCAGGAATTTCGGATAGGTGTCACGTGAGTATCAAACGGAGAGATTTCGGTTCGTTATTTGTGGTTTGAACCATTCTATCTTCATGATTTGCCCATGTCTCCTCTGACCCCGTGGTGCCTTGATTCTTTGTCACCTCGTGAGTGTGGTCATCGGGCCCCTGTCTGTGGACGCTGGCGCCCGTGTGCCCGCTCGGGGGCGCCGCGGGGTCGGCCCGTGCGTTGACGCTCTGTTCCTCGCGGTCTCGCCACGTCGTAGTGCCGGCGGCCGCCGCTCGTGGCCGCCCCGTGCGCTGCCGCCTCACGCAGCTTGCACAGCACAGCTTGCGGCACACGCGCAGCTTGCACCACACAGCCTTGCCACGCGCAGTTCGCACTGCACAGAACTCACACCGCCTTTGCGTTCCACAGGGTGCACCTCGTGGCATACACATCTCAGAGCACACCGTGCACAACATCACAAAGCATCACGGATCACATCTTAGAGCACACGGCTCAAGAACCACATAGCTCGCACACCATAGCGTCCACAACACAGCTTGCACAACATAGCTTGCACCACAGAGCTCTCACAGCAACGCTTACACAGCATAGCTTACACTTCATCGCTTGCACAGCTTCGCTTCCACATCCGCTGCGCAATCACTTACTGCGTTGGGCCCACGCTGGTGAACACGTTCTGGCGGCTTTCCTGCGTTAAGAGCCCCCAAAAGGGGGCGCCATCTTCGAGGTTCCCACCCCCCGACCCACCCCTCTTCTGTGCAGGAGCTTTCCCAGAAGGCCTCCCACCTTCGTCCAGTCTCTCTCTCTGCGCCCCGCCCAGAGGTGTCGGGCTCGGAGGCGTTTTTTCAGGTCACCTCCACGATGCAGGAGGACGTCAAAGCGTATCTCAAGAGGCTGACGCCAAATGTGTGAGTGCGCCTGTTTGTATGAACAGCGCAACGCGCTGGACCAGTCGATAGCGCAACGCGCTGGACTAGTCTGCCTCTAGGAGCATCGTCGGGCGTTGCCAGAGGTGTCCCTGGCCCAAGTTGTCCCCTGGATTTGTAGGGGGGCCTCAACGGCCTCCAGAGCACCCCCTCACGAGGTCCAGATCCAAAGGGACCCCGAAATGGAGCGAACAGCTGCGGACACCTTGGGCCTGGGACGCTTCTGGGGTCCCCCGACTATCTGCAGTCGTGCACTCTTTCGCGGCCACTGGTGCCATTACCCGTCGGTCGCTGCAAGTAGGTATTTTTGGATGCACAAGTCGCAATCTACTTTAGACGCCTTGGTACTCCAAAAGTCGATCAGGAGGTGAAAGACTACACAGACACAAAGAAGCGTCGATTCCCCGTAATATGTGGGAAACTGTGGGAAGTGGGAGGGAAGACGCAAACCCAGAAGATATTGGAAAATGCGTGGGATCTGGGGATGAGTGTTGATTCGTTGATGTGTCCCTGGGCCCCGTCAGTCGACCGGCACCCCAATCTGCTCCAGGTGTCTGCCCACTTCCTCCGACCGACGGGCAGCGCATCCGAGGGGGCACGCGGCGGCGGCGGGCAGAGGCCGCGGCGGCGTGCTCGGCTGGAGGCGCGAGAGAGAGAGAGAGACCGCCCGCCGCCCCCCGATGAAGCCCTGGCCGCAGAGGTTTTTCCGATGGGCTTGTTTTCCACCACCACCACCACTAGAAGTTAGAGGGGGAGGGGGTCCCTCCTTGTCCTCATTCTCCTTCCCCTTCCCCCCTCCAACGTGTGGTGGTGGTGGAAGACAGGCCCATCATGTTTCGGCGATGCCGCTGCCCCGGGGGAGGGGGAGAGCACTCGGCACCGCCAACGCCTCCGCAGGCGCGGCCGGGCCTGTAGCTCGGCGGCTCCCCGGCGCCAGCTGAGATTCAAGCAGTGGCGAAGCGTCCTGGCGCGCCTGCAGGCCTACCAAGCAATGCTCTCTGAGAACCTTGTGTTGTCTCCACGAGATGTTCTTATAGAACATTTCGAGCTGGGACTGTCTTGTTTTGACACATCGGTTTTTTGGTCCAAGAACATTGTTTTTGTTCTTAGATGTGTTGGGGGTTCTATGAACATGTCGTGGTAGGCCTATAGGAATGCCGGGACGGTCGGTCCCTCTCAAGAGGAAGGGGTAGCCATACCGCTACCCTTTGCTCGTTTTCCACTCTTCGGGCCTCCCGGGGGGTCCTCGTCGCCACCGCTGGCTTCGCCTCGAAAGCGTGGCCACAAAGCACCTTGGGAGAGGTCCGGGGAGTGTAGCGGTCTGGCTACCTGTTTGTTTCCCGATATAGGGCCCCGGGATCCTCACATATCGATCTGGCTGGAACAATGACATTGAAATATGAGCTCCAGGCGTGATTTTGCGCGATGTTGCATTTTTTCCTCAACGTCGGAATCTCAGGGCCCGCTCAGACAGGGGAGTCCACATCCACCAGCGTCTGGGCCCAAAAGTGGAGACAGTGGAGTCTTGGTGGGCTGGTGGTGCCGATGATTGCTGCCCTGACAGCCAACGTCTTGGACAGAAAACACGGTGACGGTGACAGAAGCCACCGAATCCTGATGTTTCAAGCTGGACCGATCCTTGCGGGTCCCAGGGCCCCAAGTTTCCTCGAAGTCTTGCGCTGCGCCTTTTCCGTAGCGAGTGAGGTCAGGGCATTCCCCCCCAAATTAGATATGGCTACGGTGCAGTTTCCGAGTCGGATCTCGAGGCGAAGCCGGCTGTGGCGACGAGGCCCCACGCAGAATTGGTTTGTCTTCCTTTGCCTTCTTCCCTAACCTTGCTCCCTCCTGCTTCTCGTCTTCCCCCTTCCCAGAACGCCTCGCATCCCGAACGCATCACTTGGTTTCTTCAATGTTCTGCTTCCTTGGGCCCTTACCAGGCCTCGGGACCTTCAAACAACCAATCAGAACGAAAACCCAGTCACAAGGGAGGGGTCCACACCTCTGAGGATCACGACGTAGGGGGTTTGGGCACCCTCCTTATGTTCTCCTCCTCCTCCTCCTCCTTCTCCTCCTCCTCCTCCCCACTGCTCCACGTTTTTTGTGCTGTTGTTCTGCCATGCAGCTCTTGAAATCCAGATTCGAGCTTCCAGCGCGCTGAGTTTAAACAGTGAACCGGTTGACAATTCACGTGATGTTTCGTCTAGTGAGATAGCCTTTGCTTTGAAGACTGCGCACGGTTGCAAGTACGTGCCGTGCTCAACGAGCGGCTCGAACATAATTTTTTCTCCAGCGGCCTCGCCCGAAAGACCGACGATCCGAGCTCCAGCGGCGCAATCATCTTAGCGGAGCCCCCCCTCCGCTCCGGAGGTGCTCTCCCGTCTCCCCCGTGCTGGGGGCCCGACACCTGGTCGAGGGCTCCTGGCCCGTGCGATATCTCGGGCCCGCGGCAGGCAGCGACCAGCCCGCTCGGGCCCCCCGCGCTCCCGCCCAGGCAAAAAGGAGCGCCGAGCGCCCTCTTCTCTCGCGAGGGGGCGGGTGGGCCCCTGACCTTCCAGGAGGGGGAAAAAATAGCACCCGGACGTCGACGTCCTGATTCCTGCCGGGGCTTGAGGCAGCACAGAGATCTACAGGTCTGGGGTGCTATTTGTTTGGGAACTCTGGAAGGTCAGTGGCTTGGAGAGGAGGGCGGGTGGATCGAGGAGACGGTAGGGAAGACGAGCCGGGCGCGACACTCGCGCCATATCTGACCTCCCACCCCTGCCGCCCAGCCCTCCCGCCGCGCTGGCTCTGTGTGCATCCTGATGGGCCTGCTTTCCACTACCACCATAAGTTGGAGGGGGGAAGGAGTAGGAGGACGAGGAGGAGGACGAGGAGGAGGAGGAGGTGGACGAAGAGGAGGAGGAGGAGGAGGAGGAGGAGGTGGAGGAGGAGGAGGAGGAGGAGGAGGGGGGAGGAGGAGGAGGAGGAGGAGGAGGAGGAGGAGGGGGAGGAGAACCCCCTCCCCCTCCAACTTATGGCGGTGGTGGTGGAAAACAGGCCCATCACATCCGCTGTCTGGGTTGTCCTCGGGGGCCCTGGTCCCCCAAGAGAAACCCACCTCTGCGACGTGCCCACGAGGCGACAGACCCTGGAGGGTTCCTTATCTGATGAGGGCGGCGGTGCTACCCATAGCCAATCAACGATTGGAGTTCCACCAGCTTCCAGACCCTGGCTTCCTTATCAAGTGGTTCTTTATTCAATGCCGTCACCGTGTTTCCCGCGGATCGTTTTGCTTCCCAGATCCTCTCTGGACGGTCCCCGGGGCCCATTGTCAGGCCCCCCAGGGGCCAAACGTGTGGCGAAATCAATCACCCGTCGTGTGTTTCTCCTCGACGCAAGGGGGCCGCAGCAGGGAGCCGCACTCGCGCGCCGCACCGCGCTGTGAAGCCTGGCCTCCCTCCGAGCCATCGTGTCGAACAGGGGGAGGCCAGGCGCACTCGAAGAAGAAAACACGCCATAAACATAAACTGTTGGCACTCCGCGCGGAGCGCCAACAGCTTATGTTGATGGAGTTCCTTCTTGCTCCACGTGCCCCAGAGCAAGCGCTCCCCGGAGAGGGGGCACCAGGGCCCACCTCGGGACGCCCAGCGGCTGCGCTCTGGCGCCCACCGTGCCTGGAGCCGTGGCCGCTGCGACACCTCACTACCGTAGACGCGCTAAAGGTGTGTTAGCTGACGGCGAAGTAGGACGTCCATTTGTCGGAAGGCGTGGTTCGTGGCTCAACCAATTGTAGGAACGCGTGGCTCGTGTTTTCCTACAGCTCGCTCTGTCGTTCTCGTTCGATACATTCGCATATTTGAACTGTCGGAAGCAGTGTTTGGTGATCTTATACATGTTGTTTGCGTGAGCCAGGTGCCACAAAAATAAGATTCCCAACCGCACCGTTTACCAAGCACGCCGTCAGCGCGGCCTTGGCACTGGGGGCACGTCATCCTTGGGGTACGTTTGGGCCTTTCCTTGGCGGCGAGCGAGGGGGGAAGTGAGAAGGAGCAGGCCTCCTCAGCAGGCTCGGAAGTCCACCAGCCTTCTGAGGAGTTGTCTCAGCCTTCCTTGCAGACAGACCAAAACAAGAACCTCTCAGAAGGTGCGAGGCCTTCCGAGAAGCCCCGCTGCCTTCTGGGAAGGCCTTCTCCTTCACATCTTCCCCCATCGCTCGCCGCCAAGTCTGGGCCTTGCACGGTTGCCCCCGGGGCCGTAGGCGATCCGCGGAGGAGGAGGAAGAGGAGGAGGAGGTGGAGGAGGAGGGGGAGGAGGTGGAGGAGGGAGAGGGGGAGGAAGAGATGCAGGAAGACGAGGAAGAGGAGGAGTAAGAGGAGGAGGGAGGAGGACAAGACAAGACAATACCACTCACGAGCCCGTTGTTCGATGTCTTGCTGGGTGAGGGGGCCTCACGACTTAAACGAGTGAGACTTTGGATGTGTATATGGCTCTGTGAGCGCGTGAGAACGCGCCTGCCAGCGGCCCTGCGGGGGGATTCCACTGGCCTAAGGAGGGACCTTGGGGAAAATGGGCCCCTCCGTGGCCCTCCAGAGGCACCTTGTCCCCTGAGAGCTCTAGGTGCGAGTCAAGAAGTAGCAATCCCACAATTGTGTTTCTTTCTAAGTGCTGTCAGGTTTGGGCTCAGACGTTTGAGGAGGAGGAGAGGGCGGAGCGAGCAGGGGGAAAGGGGAAGGGGACTCAACCGAGGAAAGGGAGAGGTCACGATTCCTAAGTCGGACCCTGGAGGATCTCTGAAGCAGTGTTATAATATCTCTACTGGGCTCCACAGTGCTACAGACATGATGAAACGTAAGAACACATCTAGCACCAGCTTTGTATTCTAATGTAAGCCTGGCGGACGCGCGCTGCATTCTGGTTAGAGCCTCAGCATCCAAATATCATGTTTGCAGCATCTCCACCATCCGTTCAGATCCATCTATCGTAATCGGCCGTGCTATTTCTTGTGAC